GTGCAACCGTATGACGTCACTACCCAGAGTGCATTGAGAAGTAAATAACAATGGCGGCCTACTGGTAAATCGGTTTGATATAAAATGTGCTTAAAAGGAAAACATTTGGCGTATTTTAATACCACATATATGTTATTGAAACCACAGTACATATTTTAGCACAAACATGTCTTAATAGCCGGGGTTCCCTTTAAAGCCCAAAGTGTTTTTGCAACCAGGTGTCACCCCCTGGTGGCCATTAGAAAGAAAGCAGGTTATGTCCATCTTTTATATGCAGTCTGTGTATAAAAGTCAGTAGTGTAAGTTTTTTTTCCCCGCTCTCTCTCACTGACAGCTGCGTGTGAGTAAAGAACAGGAACACTTCCTTGTGCTTCCAGATGGACTGGCCTATAGTGAGGTGACTGGATCCAGTTTGGTGAGTCAGCAGCGACACATGTGACTGGGTTCTTCTGGCTCCATTGTTACTGATACAATGCTACTTTTGATTGTACTTCATTTGTTATATAATTAATGAGTGCTACAGTGGATGTCCAACTGATTTCGTTGATCATTTATTCTTTAAAATTACACTGAGATTAATAACTGAAATCTTATTAATGAATAAGCATACACCAAAGTCAAAATGTCTGTCGATTTCCAGTAAATGCTCCTCATAGAGACTTTTCCTATATATTAAATCTCATGTTAAATCTCATGTCTCAATGTTTACATGCCATAGAACAATATGGTGATAATAATATGGTCATCCCAGAAATCTAAGATATCGTGCTACAAGCCTACATTGCTGTAAATGTCATGTAGGCTGCGCTTTACGACAGTCAATCAGAAATCTAACTGAGCAAAATAAGAGCACTGCAATCTCTCACTTAACTTCATTATCATTTTTACCCTCAGAACTAATATAAGAGTCTTCATGTTAAACAAACAGGCACAATTACATTGTATGTGAAGCCAGTGCTTTCAATGAAACTGAACAAACAACAACTTCCTGTTTTGTTTTATCTACTCTTTCCTCTTGTTCTCATCTGCCACTTAAATCATTCGGTCAGCATTTTTGATCTGACATCTGACCAAATCTCACATTTTTAAAATACAATTATTAGATTATAAACAGATAAAATGATTTATGCATCACTTGCTTGAAGGGGAAAGTGTGTTTTAGGGTCTGGCCACAAAAAGTTGTGCCTTGTGAAAAAAAAGGCTGTTGGCTATCTGTGGAGAGCCCTCTGCCTCAGCAGCCTGAGCCTGCAGACGAAGCTGTGGCTCAGTCATGACTCATTTGCTGCTACAGGCACAAGAAAATAACTCTTCCTCCTCCTCCTCCACTAATCATTGTTATCACCGCAGCCTTGATTTAAGTTCCGACTTATTGAAGTTGCTACCAACACACACTAACTGAAGAACAGAGCCATCACTCATGAGCAAAGGTATAAAAGTAAAAAGTGCACATCATTCATTCACCTACAGCTACATTTGTGACATATGCAACGTGTTATATTTTTTGCTCTATATGAATTCCACGTTATAGAAATATCTTAACAAGAAGCCTTACTGCTAAATGTGACCCTGTGATGGCGCTGTGCACTTTTACAGGTAAAGGTGAATATCCTGGGCGAAGTGGTGGAGAAGGGGAGCACCAACCTGGGAGTGGACACTGAAAAGTTCAGCCTGCACTCTGCCATCTACTCGGCCAGGCCAGATGTTCGCTGTCTGTTTCATCTCCACACACCGGCTACAGCAGCAGTGAGGCAGCTTTAGAGGACTCATGCAGACACAAAACAACTGAATTTTACTGTTTATTCCCTAAAATAATAAGTTTTTTTTAGCACATTGTGACTTGAGTCTATCTCTAGGTTTCAGCTATGAAGTCTGGCCTCTTGCCACTGTCCCATGAGGCACTGCTGGTTGGGGACGTAGCCTACTATGACTACAATGGAGTTATGGAGGAGGAGGAGGACCGAGTGGAGTTACAGAAGAGCTTAGGACCTACCTGTAAGGTGAGCAGACTAAAAGAGTCAACACTGACAGTAAGACCCACATATCTTTGCTCAGTTCAGCAGCTGCTGCCCTCGTGCCTCCCACATGGGTTTCAGAGTGAATGGAGAGAAGACGTAGGGTGATGTGGTCGTGCGCTGGATTAATTACTGGAGCTGCAGCCTGTCTCCCAGCAGAGATGATTTCATTCTTGTGGTAATATTTCTATTTTATGATACCTTTCAGGTTCTGGTGCTGAGGAATCATGGCATAGTGGCTCTGGGGGAGTCTGTGGAGGAGGCCTTCTACACCATCTACCACATCCAGGCTGCCTGCCAGATCCAGGTAACACACACACAAGCACACAGTACTGACAAACAGCTGACACACTGGAGATGGAGTGTGTGGCTATGTGAGGGGGAAAATGAAGTATCATGTATTTCAGCCAGTAGCTCTGCACTGCAGTATAAAACACTACAGGTATGTTAGCACGTGATAAAGCAATTCTGCAGTAATCCTACAGGAGCAGCAGTGAAGCCTGAAGGGAAGCAGATATGTGACTGTAAGGTGTTCAGTCAGGGTTTTTGTAAAACACTGCTGAGCTTGATTAAATCTAAATCATAGACCATGTCATATATAAAATTCAGGGTGTAGCCACCCTGATGCCACCCCTTCTGTACTCCTTACCTTAATATATCTGTGGAGTTATTGTGAGGAACACAAAACAAACTTACATTTACCTACAACAAGCGCTACCTATGGTCCTGATTTTGGCCTCTGCTTTTGCCTCCACTGCCTACTGGATGTCTATTTCTGTTGGCTGTGCAGGCAGTTGTCATAGCACCCAGCCAGAGCCAACAGGGACTCCTGAAGTGCATGCTTCGATCACCGGTGCGTTGCTCAGCACAGCAACAGAGCATAATGCATGGTTTAAGTCTCTGCAGCATTTCAGCAGTGGCACAAATACCTCAGCTTATTTTCCTGGGTGAAAAAAAGCTTTTTAAGACAGTCAATCAAAGCAGCTGTGCAGTTTGGGAGTTATTGAGATGCTTTTAGCCTCAAGTGGCCGCTGCAGGAACTGCAGTTCCTGGAACTTTGAATTTGCTTCCTTTCCAACCACAGAAGTTGCTGGGATGTGTGTGCATGTGTGCAGAGCAGACCTATGCTAGAAACATAGAAATTGCACTTTTGTCTTCGACTTTTTATTGTCAGGTGTCGGCGTTGTGTTGTGCTGGAGGAGAACAGAACCTGATTATGCTGGACCGCACCATCCACAAACCCACTCCAGCCGGCACGGTCGGCTGGGCTGGCTCCACCTTCGGCCCTCTGCATAAGAGCCGCGTTGGGGAGCATGAGTTTGAAGCCCTCATGAGAACTCTGGATAACCTGGTAAACAAGAATCACCCTGAACAGACACGTGTTTCACAATCAGCTCACTGATATTTTTTATTGAACATCAGAATTAGCTGCACATATAAAATTCTGCACGCATGTTTTGTGGGTTTTACTGTATATTAGACTGTCTGACTTGTACAGAGCAGAAAAAAAATATGAACGATCTACGAGCATGTATGCAAGGATGTGCCCAAGTTTCTTAAAGATAGAAGACTAAAACGTGACATTTCCACTAGTATTCAGTCCCTTCTGCACCTTTGAACTTCTTCCTCATGTTATTTTTTCAGGGCTACCGCACTGGCTATGCGTACCGCTTCCCTGTACTTCTAGAGCGAACGCGAACACGGAGGGAGGTGGAGGTACCGGCGACCGTCACGGCCTTCCACCAGTTTGATGACGATGGCGTCCACCCAGCACTGAGGCAGCATCCTTTTGCCCAGCGCCAGCAGCAGGAGAGGACCCGATGGCTCAACACCCCCAACACGTACCAGAAAGTCAGCCAGGAGCAAGCCAGCCCGGGACACCAGCGCACCACTGTGAGGCTCGTTTTAAGTTACTGCGATTGTCTTTAAAACAGTCGTCTTTCCTACTAACTGTGCAATACGACATGTCCTATAACTTGCAGCTGGTGCGTTTGAAATACTGTGGAGGATAGAAACTGATTTCAGAGCCCTGGATGTAGAGAGATGAGAAATAATATTTACTGGATATAAGTCTTGGGCGTCCCTTCGAGGCTTCACCTCAGCACAGTGACACAGATCTATTTACTTATCCAATCAGAGGCTAGCAGCCTTACCCTGCTGTAATGCTCAGTGATTCCCTTTAAGCAACAGTAAAGCCGGTTAGAGGGCAGAGCATGTGAGATGGTTCAAAGCAGAGGTGGACTAGGGCTGCCACGATTAGTCGACTATTAAAATCGTCGACGACT